GATCTAATACCATGGGATTAATATATGTAAAGACAAAAATACCCCTCAAATCCTTTCATTTTGTTTATTTTGTTTATTTTCTTGATTTTATGTTTTATATTTGTACTAATAAATTTATTTAAATCGATTAGCTTACAAACTTTATTATTTAAATAGAGTTATTTGTAGCTAAAATATGAGTTATTTAATCTAATTATTATTAATATAAAATATTATAATCGGACTAATATGCTAATGTTGATGTATGAATTTAAGAGTTATTTTTGCTATTTAAAAACATCTTGAGTATAAAAATAGTTCAATTTATTTTGCTATTTTTTTAGGGAAAGAGTTTGAAAAATACTTCAACTTTGGCCGAAATTGATGTTACGATACCAAACTTTATGGATGACCTTTTACCCCCTGCACTATTTAATAGTGTATTTTAAAGGATATATGTGCCCACGAGGACACATTACTATTTAAAATGATGCAATATTTATGATGTCCACGTAGGCACATATATACCTTTAAAATACACTATTAAATAGTACAGGGGGTAAAAGGTCATTTCCAAAGTTTGGTATCGTAATAGCAATTTCAACCAAAGTTGGAGTATTTTTCAGACCCTTTTCCTTTTTTCTTTTTTTTTTTATGATAAAGAGTAATTTTGTATGATAAAAGTCCTAAGTTGAATGATTTTATTGATGTAAAACAATGTTCAATACCTTTTTTCTATAAATTCTTATAGTTGTGTGACCTTTTGAGATATTAACTTCAATTTATTAAGATGACAAATATTTACCCTCAAATAATTTAAGTGAGAAAATAGTAAACATGGTGATAAAATTTTCCTTCTCTTAGCTAGTTAAATGGCTATAAAAAAAATAATATTGCTCGTCAATTATTTACTTGACCCAATTACATGAAATTAAAAATCTCATAATAACTCAAGGGTATAATTGGAAAGAAGTTTTTTGTATAGTTTTAAACCCCACACAAAATTAGGTAGGAAGCAACGAATCAAACACTTGATAAAAATAATCCCTGCATTACTAATCCAAGCATTACTAATCCCTGCACTATTGATCTTTGTACCAAACGGCCCCTTAGTATTTATATTTGTCCTTTTTGAGCATGGATTTTATGAATTGTGCTTAATAGTGTATTTTATTTGTAGAATTAAATTGATGGAAACACACAAAAGTTTGGAGCTAAAAAAAATTAAAGATGAAAGATTGAAGAAGGAAATCAAACAGACAGCTTAATGGATTAAATGAAATATAATAATATATATAAAGAATTGCATGATGCTGCGTATGGCAAAGAAAATTACTGCCACGTGGCAGCAAGGGAAGAGAAGAGTACAAATTGAAGTCGGCTACAACAAACGAGTTTCAAACGGAATCCAATTTCGTTTGGTTTTGGATTCCCAATTAGTTTTGGATTCAATTATTTTATTCTGGGTCTCCTACATCTATAAATAATCCATAAGAATAATTATTAAGGGAAAAGGATACAATGTAGAAATTAACTTTTGATTTAGAGTTTCATCTTTTCTTCTCTTTTATTTATTTTACATCTTTTCTTTGAATGATTGGTTGTAATTGCTCTATGTCTATGTGGAGTTAAACTTCTCATTCTTGGATTATATTTACTTACAATATGATTATTTAGCGATTTTAATTCGGCATGATTTGTTTATCATATTGGTTATTCTTATATTCTTGTGATTACTATTTTGATGTTTGATCACCATTAGAATAAATTTATTGTCTTCTTTTGAACTCGGGAGAGGAATAGAGGGATATAACGTGGAATATAAGGAGCATGATCTTTTCTTGCATGTCACGTGAATTGATTTGTGTCTAGGATAGGGATATACCTAGGTGCCTTGCTTGACTCAAATACGGGAAGACAACTTAATGCTCCATAGTTAGTTCAGTCTATCCCCGCTCAACGATTGCGTTAGACGGTTAGAGGTCGGGAGATCATGACTATATTATAAACCCCGTGAATCAATAACTAGATAATCAAATAAGTTGATGAAATTGATGTTAAACATGATTGTTAGTTTAATCATAATCTTAGATCGATTCATTCATTGATTATGTAAACATCTATCTTTTCTTAATTAATTGTTTTTTAGTTATTTTATCTTTATTTTTAGTTTAGTTAATATATATTCATCTTCTGAAATTCTCCCTTAAATAAATAATTAGAATTAGTATAATTTAGTAAATAGTTAATTGACAAGTCCTTTGGGTTCGATAATCCGGTTCTTTTAAGAGCCACTATATTACTTGTGCAACCGCGTACACTTGCGTGTGCAATTGGGAGCAACAAGTTTTTGGCGCCGCTGCTGGGGACTTCAAAATTAATTGTTTTTCTAGGTTAAACTTTTTTTTTCCATTTATTTAAGATTTTATAAAAAAAAATAACTCCTTATTTTATTTTATTACTGTCAATTTTTTTTCTTTTGATCTTGTCTTTGAAGATTAAGGGAAGTCTGAGTACCCAAAAGTTTGAAGTGAAGGAACGCATTTGAGCTTAAGTGTGGGGTGCGTACGACCCTTGATGAAAATTAAGAGAACATGCTACTAGCTAGGCCTAAAGGCCTTAGGGAGTTTTTTCAACCCTTGTTTTAAATTTTATTTGATGCTTTGGGACATAACATCTATTTAATTGTGGGGTGGAGGAATGAATTCCTAGTTTTTACTGTTTTATTGAGTCTTTTCTTTTTTTAGGATGAGTTCTTTGGCTTTTGTTTTCGG